AGTCTGATGAGAGCGTCGCCACTCTTTGTCGATATCTCTTGGTCTGGACTCTGAAGTAATGCTAACAATGCGGTTATCAATGGAAACGAATCACTTAGAAAACAGTTGATTAGATCCGGAGTTCGATTGATTTGATCGCAAATGCAGCTCAAGAACTGCATTTCAGTCGACTCGTACGGACCGGCCATCAGTTTACCGCAATTGATGATCAATTTCTGGACAGAATTATAGACACATTTATGGGGCAGTAATTCAAGCGATGAGTTGGAGATGAGTGTTGTGTAGAAGTGGAGGATGTGTTGCGTCAGACCTAACGGAGTGTCCGTTTGCGACAATTTACTCATTGTGTCCAAAATCTTGTGTTGAAATAACAACTCCATCGACGGTCCGATCGGCGAACCATTGAGAGCGGTCTCCGCTTTCGGCTCCCCATCGCCTCCTATGGTCTCCAACTCGTGGATCTGCTCTTCGCATAAGATGTCACACATTTTGCACAAATGTTGGCCAATATTTGTGGCCTCAATGGGTCCGGCGAGCCGTGACTTGTCCTCCGACTCGTAAACGGCCATCACTTGATTCCAGTGCCACAGGAGCTGGTCTTCGGCGGCAATGGTCGGCGCCAACACTTCCATCGTGCTGTTGATGGCCGTCGACAATAGGCTAAACATGTTGTCGGCCACTAATCTGATCCACCAATCAATAGACACACACAATATCGGCGCTCAAAGCACTAGTTATGAGGCGTTTCATTGTTTTAATGCCAAACATATGTAAACATCTGTTCATTAAATTGAAGTCACTTTTGAACAAATGGTTTGCAAAACACAGAAAACATATATTCATTCAATCAATGCTTTAAATATGACATCAATTTCACTATTTTTTCACTCATTTATTACTATTTTTACGTAACTTTTATTTATTTACTCTAAAACTTATCACAACTACTGTTACTAATTAATCACTGTTTTGAACCCCTTTTGCCCCCAATTCTCAATTACTAATGCAATACAGCGTTGAATACAGTGTTATTTGATCTCATTTTCACCGTTCTTTATATACACATAGTTTGTGATTGCAATTAATGTTTTAAAGTCCGGTTTATAACAATGATTAAAATTAAATAAGTTGTAAAAATTGCAGTTTAAATACTTTCATTTCGTAATTTACGTTAAAAACTATTGTATTGATTAAACAGAAAGTATTATTTGGTTGTTATGTAATATTGTTAGTCGTAATGTTAGATTAGGTTTAGTTTTCTGACCTGTTTTGTTGTTATGCCAATCCTATAACCAATCAAACATAACATTAACCTAACTTTAAATAACCACTAAATTAACAAATATATCGCTTCCCATACGTTAGACATAGAAAAATACAAAAAAGTTTAATCCATTAGACGAGGGATGTGTTGGACAACCAGTGGTTCATTCGTATATCGATTCATACCAATTGAATTCAATGATGAAAGTGTTGAAAGTGCAAACTAAAGTGTTCAAATTTTAAGTGTTCATAAAAATTATTTATTTTCATATATTATTCGCATAAAACATAATATAATTTTTTAATAATAGATCCAAAAAACTATAAAAATTTCAATTAATTTGTTTTACTTATTAATTCTCTGCGAAACAAAAACCAGAATTGCGTTCATTTTAAAGAAATTTGCTTTCAATGAAATATTGATGGACTCAAAGTTGTAGTGAATTTTAAAT